ATGTGCAATGTACAACCACATTATTTTAGTTTTTTTATGTCCCCCCCCCCCCCCCCAAAAAAAAAAAAAAAAGCTTTCAGCTTATTTTTCAATTAAGTTGTACAGTCTATAGGTCACATTAAATATGGAAAATTATTTATCTTTGTCTAATTTTTGTACATCACAGAAACCTGACATTTTAACAAGGGTGTGTAGACTTTTTATATCCACTGTTTTTAATTTGCAACTTTGCTTAAAAAATACCCCAGTGAACCTTCATGAAAGTCACTTTCAGGCATTTCCTGGTATGGAATGAAACCACTCAGTCTCTGTCTGATTCTAACTCTTTCACATGGGCTTCCAATGTAGACTATAAGTGGAAGTTTCAAAACACATTGTGGGCATGGTATAGCATTGTCACCATCAAGAAATCTACTCTGGGTAATGACATGCAGGAGTGCATGCAGACATAAATTGGCAAAAGCATCTACAGGAGATTAGCAGCACTGAGAACAACAGGATATTTAAATGGTGAAAACAAGTTTTGTTTTTTTTTTTTTTTTTTTTTTAAAGAAAAGAATTGTTATACACAGTCCTTTAGCAAACTTGATATAATTCAGTTAGGGTTTCATATAAGTTTATGCATTTTCTTTTATTGTTAACATAATTAATTGGCTAAAACTATTAATATTCAGTAAAAATATATTCATTCATCTTCGACTAGTACTCATATATAGCACATTTTCATGAAGTGGTAAAGAATAGCCATGATAGTAGTCATAATAGAGGTTTAATAGGCATCTCTGAAAATTCATTGTTAATTAGCACATTACAGCCTTATTTACCCCCAGGGCCCAAGAAAAGCAATGTGCTGACACTGTCCTCTTGACATATCCATTCTAATCTCATTTGTCTTAAAGTTGAGCATGGCAGCGTGCTCCATCTTCGGAGTTCTCAATTATTCCTATGGGGAATTAGAGTTAGGGTGCTATGTTCGGCTTTAAGTAAACCTCTAAGAAATCTGAACAATTCAAACTAAGCATATGTTAAGAAAATATCCTTTGTATGTAATCTTTACATTACCCATAAAGTCAATTGTTTCACAAAAAAGTATTTCTGAATGGTATGCATGCAGGGTGTTGAAAGATTAGAATTACTTGGTGTTTTGCTGCTAAACAGACAGAGAACAATGACAAGTAATGCACTCAACTGCAATCCTTGCACATAAGACATGTAGATTGGAACATCTTTTCACTGTCTGAAACTATGAGCCATTGCTAGGAGTCGTTTACTGTGTAGTGGGAATGGAGCTGAATGTATGGTGTGGGTACACGCACCAGTGCTGGAGCATTTCTTCTTCTGATGATAGCCTTTCTTGTCACAGCAAGTTCTAGACTCTTGCTAGGGATGAGCTCAAGGTTCAGTCCAAACACGTTTTGACCAAAATTACTCTGTTCAGGCATGTTGAATGCTGGAGCTTTTTGCACATTCAGCGGGAGCCAAACATCATAAATAGCAGCAGTATTTCTACCCCTATTATATATGACACCTTCTTACCCATAAATCATAGTTAAGGAAGTGGCAAGTGCCACCACCAGCTCCATCCTTAGCAACCAGCTATGTCACCTATCCCACATTCATTTAGTGGCCAGGAATCCCCAGCCATGGAAACAAAGACTATATGTTATCAATGACATCACCCTGGAGACCCTGCCATGGGGTTCCTATGTTGAGAACACGTGGCCTATTATGATTCAGGAGCTGGGTGCTGCGCCTTATCCCCCCTTTCTTGGCCAGCCAGGCTACTTGAACAGATAATGGACACATTTTCTTTTTTGTTTTTTTGCATAGAGCTCCCCTTTAAAATTAATTTCAGACCCAAAGGGTCCCCCTTCATATCTATACCAGACCCTTATCAAGCAAAGGTTCTGGTATATATTTTTAGGGGGTCTCTGTTGCTTTTTTGTAGGGGGGGTCCCTCAATAACATCTATATCCGACCCTCATCTGCAATAAGGGTCTGGTATAGCTGAAAAGAATCCCTGACTGCTTTACCAAGACAAAAAGAGACACATCAGTATGCGTGGAGATCATGGGCACCACATCCCTAATTAAGAATACACAAAAAAAGTAACCGTGTGATTTTTTTAACGTGCTAATGACAATGATACAATTTTATACATAAAATCACATTTTTATTTAATATTCATGAATAAAAACATTTTAGAAAAAGTATTTCATTTCCTTAAAACCACACCATCAAGAATACATATCCATATGGTCTATTCATGTAGTCACTTTATCACAACATGTGTCGCCAATACACTGGCTTCTTCAGGAGATTTTTTGAGTGCTACATACTGAGCCACTAGAATTAAGAAACAAAACAATTACCATCAATTCAATCACAAGGTATACAAAAGAAGAATGATTTTCTCATGCATATGCAAACATGATTCAAATAAATCATAACATGAATAATAAAATTAATCTGCTAGAGGGAAACTCACCAGAATGCAATTGACACAAACAGGTCTTAACCGTCAGGTGTGCATCCAGACGTCACCCCAGAAAGTATTAGTCCTAGGAAGGGTACAAAGTTCACAAACAACTCCCAGTTGCTGTGTATATATAAATGAGTAGCTGCTGAAAGTAAAAAAGGGAATAGAAAAGATCTCCCATTAAAAAGTATGAACCAAATGATAATGATAAGGGCATACCACTTGAGATAATAGCACATATATGACATAGGTCATACTGTCTAACAAGATGATAAAGCTCACAAGACATCTCACTGGTCAAATTACAGATTCAGTAGGTGCTGAAAAAAAACAATATAGACAGACAAATTACTTTTTATTTAAAAAAGAATAAGCAAAAAATGTGCCCAGCAAAGATCACATAGATGTCAAAACCAACGAGGAATGCTTGTTAGGGATGACAAAAGTTGTCTTTAACACATGTGCCTCAGTGGAGATGACAACATTGTGCACATACATTTTTACCAATATATGTCACCCACCTCTAATCATTTAATGGCCCAGCCATGTAAGCAAAGGCCATATTTTGTCATTGAGATCACCCTATTGTTTCCTATTAGTCGGGGGGGGGGGGGGCAAAAGATGTAATTTGATGTGACTGTTCGATGGGTGCAGATTGTGATGGCGGTTGGCAGGATGTCTTTCATTGGCAGGCATCATTTTATCATAATTGACATGGATCTGCATTGCTGGATAATATTATTGACAACGGATTTACATTATGGGACTTTTTTGGTTCTTTTATTTATTATTAACGGATTTTAAAAAATTGTAGTGTAACTTCAAAAAAAAGTGGTGTCATTATATACTGTTTAAATTTTTTTTAATGAGTAGGGGTATTTGTACCCTTTATTCACATGTGGAGGTGATATCTGAGGGGTGTCCTTATCCTGAAGTGGGCTTCCCCACTTGCAGACCCCCAAAACCACCAGGTCAGGGTTGTGGGGAAGAGGCTCTTGTTTTCATTACCATGGGGACAAGATGCTATGCCAGGGGGTTCCCATTTTGAGGACACTTGGCCTAGCATAGTTCAGGAGGGGGGTGCTGCACCTCCTCCTCCCTTTCGTGGCCAGCTTGGCTATATGGCTCAGATAATGAATTGGTATCATTTTTTGGGGGAGCCTAATGCGTTTTCTTTCTTTTTGCATAGGGCTCCCCTTTAAAATTCATTCCAGACCAAAAGGTTTCCCTTTCAGATCTAAACCAGAACCCCATCAAAGGTAGTAGGTATTTATAGGGGAGTCTAATGCTTTTTTTTGCATGGGGGGGGTCCCTCATTAACAGCACAGTGGCTACATGGTTAGCACTTCCGTCTAGCAGCATTAGGGTCATCGGTTCGAATCCCAGCCACTGCATGACCTGCATGGAGTTTTCATGTTCTCCCTATGTCTGTGTGGGTTTCTTCTAGGTACTCCAGTTTCCTTCTGCACTCCAAAGACATGCTGGTAAGTTAATTGGATCCTGTCTAAATTGGCTCTAGTATGTGTAAATGTGAGTTAGGGAACTTAGTTTGCAAGCTCCTCAAGGGCAGGGACTGATGTGAATGTACAATACATACATGTCACCAACCTGGTCTCAAATATCAACCAAACTGCTCTCTTCGATCCTCCCAAGACCTTCTGCTCTCTAGTTCTCATGCCATACTTGCCTCCAGGACTTCTCCCGAGTTTCTCCCATCCTATGGAACTCCCAACCCCAAAGCTGTCTCCTAATCTATCCACCTTTAGACAATATCTAAAAACCTCTCTCTTTAAAGAAGCCTATCCTGCTTCTACCTAGTAAACCACCATTTATTTCATCAGCTCATCCCCCCACAGTTATTACCTTTTGTATCACTCAACCCTTCCTCCTAGATCCTAACGAGCAGGGCCTCTGTTTCCTCTTGTAAAAATGTATTGTAACTGTAATGTCTACCTTAATTTTGTAAAGTGCTGCGCAAACTGTTGGCGCTATATAAATCCTGTATAATAATAATATAATAATATGTAAAGTTCTGCATAAATTGACAGTGCTATATAAGTACCTGTAACAAAAAAATATCAGAACCTCATCTATGGCTGCTTTGTTTACAAAAAGAAGTATGTATTTGAACAAGAAGTATGTAATTAATTCATAACAGCTGTGTGTTTCTATGCTGTGATTGACCTACAGCTAATACATGGTGCCTGGGCCAATCACAGCACCCTGTACCATGTAATTAGCTGTGCCTAATCACAGATCACTAGTGATCACAGCTGTCATAAATGTAACCCATTCAGGACAGTTCAAAACTTTACTGTTACAAAAATCTTCACTGTAACACCAAGTGTAAAAAAAAAAAAAAATCCTGATCAACTCCCCCTCTTTCCCCAGAGTAGTACAGTGTTACTATGGTGACACTGAACTACTATGATGAAAAAATTTGAAAAATTTGTAAAAAAAATGAAAATAAATGGTAAAAAATAAAAAAAATGCTTAAAAACTAGTAAAACATTTTTTTTTACATCTTGAATGGCCTCCCGTAGTCTTCTGGGACCTGTCACGTGTCCCAGGAGACTACGGAGATGGAGGGGGGGAGGACAACTCCGCGGAAGTGGGAGCGGGTACCTGTCAAATTCGGATATCCGCACCCCCCCCCCTCCCCAAAGGTCTGCAGTCTCTGGTCATCTCCTGTATTATGTCTGCAGTCTCTGGTCATCTCCTGTACTATGTCCGCGGTCTCTGGTCATATCCTGTACTGTGTCTGCAGTCTCTGGTCATCTCCTGTACTATGTCCGCAGTCTCTGGTCATCTCCTGTACTATGTCTGCAGTCTTTGGTCATCTCCTGTACTATGTCTGCAGTCTCTGGTCATCTCCTTTACTATGTCTGCAGTCTCTGGTCATCTCCTGTACTATGTCTGCAGTCTCTGGTCATCTCCTGTACTATGTCCGCAGTCTCTGGTCATCTCCTGAACTATGTCCGCAGTCTCTGGTCATCTCCTGTACTATGTCTGCAGTCTCTGGTCATCTCCTTTACTATGTCCGCAGTCTCTAGTCATCTCCTGTACTGTGTCCGCAGTCTCTGGTCATCTCCTGTAATATGTCCGCAGTCTCTGGTCATCTCCTGTACTATGTCCGCAGTCTCTGGTCATCTCCTGTACTATGTCTGCAATCTCTGGTCATCTCCTGTACTATGACTGCAGTCTCTGGTCATCTGCACTATGTCTGTAGTCTCTGGTCATCTCCTGTACTATGTCTGCAGTCTGGTCATTTCCTGTACTATGTCTGCAGTCCATTGGTTCAGAATTTTTTTAAAATCTAGGTGTGTCTTATGGTCAGATGCTAGAAATTCTGAAGGACCCTCTGCACACTGGTATATACCCTTTCAAGCAAACTATGCAACAAATAGGGATATTTGGTTCACACATATTGCAATACATGTTTAAGCTGGCCAATAGAGGGATTACTTTGACGCAGTTGGCCAGCTTAAACATGTATTGCAATATGTGTGAACCAAATATCCCTATTTGTTGCATAGTTTGCTTGAAAGGGTATATACCAGTGTGCAGAGGGTCCTTCAGAATTTTCTAGAGTTAATGTGGTTACACCCCTTTAGCACCTGATGGATAAATGCATGCACTACTGTATGGATTTGAGCACAGAGATCTCTTGTTTGTTGTATTGTTGGGTCAGTAGCCAGACCTGAACCTTGTAGCTCTCCCCATTGTGTCTTTTCCCCTATGCTAGCATTGTGTCCACAGTAGCACTTGTGTAGGCAGGGCAGAGTAGGACTGGCCATAGAGGGATTACTTTGACGCAGTTGGCCAGCTTAAACATGTATTGCAATATGTGTGAACCAAATATCCCTATTTGTTGCATAGTTTGCTTGAAAGGGTATATACCAGTGTGCAGAGGGTCCTTCAGAATTTCTAGAGTTAATGTGGTTACACCCCTTTAGCACCTGATGGATAAATGCATGCACTAGCTGTATGGATTTGAGCACAGGGATCTCTTGTTTGTTATGGTCAGATGCGTCTTATGGAACGAAAAATACAGTAATAAAATTTTACAACATTGTAACAAAAAACACACATTTTTCCAGTGTTCTGTTATACAGTTACAGTTAATGCTACTGTAAATAACATTTTTGCATTTTTTTAATGCACCATAAAAGAACTAACATATAAACTGAAAAAACATTTAAAAGTTTCAATATTAATAGAAATGTAAAACAATCAGCAGAAAAATGACAGGGGAAAAGGGGAAGTCGTTAATTATGGCTGGTTAGGATGCTCTATAGTTTAATAAGACTTAAAAAGCATCAAATTTAAAAAAAAAAAAAATGTTTTTTTTCACTTTTCAGGTTGCTTTAACTGACATTATATGCAGATCAAAGCTTATCCCTTTGACCCACAGATGAATCAGAGGTGATACAAAAGCAACAAAACATAATTTGTTTTTTTCCCTATCCATCATCTGAACAGTTTATGAATATTGTATCACGTGTTTGTACTTTGACAGCAACATCATCTACAGCTGCTGTATTTGCACAGCAAATCTTGGGTATTATTTTTAACCCCTTCATGCCGACTGTACGCAAATATGCGGCCCCACTGGACTGGGCTTTTTTCCATGGGGATGCATATTTGTGTATTTGTCTCTGTGATGGGAGTGCACTGCATGGCGCACTCCCAGAAGAGTCCAGGGTCCCATGATAATGATTGGGACCAGGAACTCCCAATTCTGGATTACCTGATAGCTGTGATAGCCTTCGATTGGCTATCATAGTGATCAGTCACTGTGAAGCCCACCCCCATGTTTTCTCTCTCTCTGAATGAAGGAGAGAGATAAATTGTATCTCACTCTGTATTTTCAGAGAGAAAAAAAAGTGTGTGTAAAAAAAAAAAAAATAATAATAAAAAAAAAAATAGCTAGGTCAAGGTTTAATCTAGGTCATTGCCAGGATTAGTGTTTGTGTCAAGGTCAGGGTCAGTATTTTTTTTTTCAAGGTCAGGGTCTGTATTTTTTTTTTTTCATTTTTAAATTTGTATCAGCATTTGTATCAGGATTTTTATTTGGGACAGTTTCCTTTGATAAAAGAAAAAAAAAAAAAGCAGGATATATCCATTAACATTTACCACCAAATGAAAGATCAATTTTCTCTGAAAAAAAAAAACAAGGTATAACACACCTGGATGCATATTGCAGTTGTGATGATATGTACGGTCTTACTGACACGTCAAAGTTCCAAAATTGTGCTCAGGCATTTAGATTTGTTTTACCCTTAGCCGTGAAGGGGTTAAAGTTGAGAATTTCAGGCAACTGTGAGGCAAAGCTCCAGTGGGGAAAAAGGACAGGATGTAATCTATATACTTTAATAAAGTTTTTTTTTAGTGCATGTAGTATATCCATTGACCATAATTGATTAGGGAATGTTCCCACCTACCTGAGAGCACTATACCAGAGAAATGCTTATTTTCCTCCTTAATCCAGTGATGATTTTCTGCTCAAAACTGCACCACCTTATCTTCACTATTCTCATGTGTGCTGTTGCTGTACTCAGTATAGGGAAAGCCATACTCTACATACTGCTATCTACCTAAAAGAAAGAAATGGGGTACACAGCATGCATATACAGGATAAAGAGGACTCATCAGAATCACTCTCTAAATTAAGGCTGTGCAGCCTCAGACAGAGCCACACAATTAAGATTGTTCGAGCATAAAGATAAGTATTTCTTTAGGGGGCTTGCCTCAAAGGTGGTGGGAGGATGCCTTAAAGGAAAGCTTTTACCTGAGTTAAATTTTTCACTTAAAATTATGTTTTAATGGTTGTGTGACAATACCTGTGCTTGCCACCTCACCAGCTTGTACTGAACTTATGGGACTCGCCACGTCACCAAGTGATATTGCAGTGCTGGTATGTGAAAGACCAGGATGTACTAGGCCACTGGTGCTCGCCAACTCACCAAAATGTAGAGTGGCACTAGTACTGGCACTCTGCTGCATATGAGAGTCATCAAACTTTACCAGCAAGTGCTAGCAGAGATCAGGCCTGATTCTGCGAACACTGTGGTTTTGTGTGCAATGTATCAATCAAGTGACAGTGACCTACTGACACTGCACTTGCTGGGGGAGAAGGGGGGTAAGCGTAGGGGCTAAACGCAGGTGCTGGCAGGTGCCGGGACTGATCCGGCTAACCCTGTGTTTTTGGGGACACTATACTAATGTGAACGCTGGTATAGTGCTGATCTGATCAAAAATATTGATCTGTTCAGACACTATACTAGCAATGGAGGTTTATTGTGTATGAGTGTGTTCCTGGCAATCGAGGGGTTAAATGTGATTACTGGTGTACTGACAGGCAATCTGATGCTATCTGGGAAGGACATGAAAACCACGGGAGCGTGAATCATGTATATATACGTGATTTTGCGCACCCGTGCCGCCCTGTAGCAGTATTTCTGCTATAGGGCGGTCAGGAAACAGTTAAAGAAGCGGTTTGTGTTACGGCGCTGCTTTACTTTAACTGACAATTGCGCGGTCATGCAACACTGCACCCAAATGAAATGTACGTCCTTTTTTCCCACAAATTGAACTTTCTTTTAGTGGTTTTTTATCGCCTGTGCATTTTTTATTTTTTGCACTATAGAAAAAAAGACTGACAATTTTGAGAAAAAAAAACAATATTTTGGACTTTTTGCTATAAAACATGTCCAGTAAAACATCATCATAATCATTTCATCATAAATTTAGACCAAAATGTATTCTGCGACATGTGTTTGCTAAAAAAAAATCCCAATAGATGTAAATTAATTGGTTTACGTGAAAGTTATAGCATTTACAAATGGTGGTATAGATAATGGCAGCGATCAGCGACTTATGGCGGCGATCATCAACTTATGGTGTACGATCAGCGACTTATAGCGGGACTGCGGCGGGCATTCTGACACTGGAGGGAACTTACTTGGTGTCACTGACATCTCCATATATATATATATATATATATATACGTGATCCTGCTCACAGGGGCCGCCCTGTATCAGGAAATGTACTGTGGGCGGTCCTTAAGTGGTTAATGTATACAGTGGAGAAAATAATTATTTGATCCTGTGCAGATTGTGTAAATTTGCTCACTTACAAAGAAATGAAGGGTCCATAATTTTTATCATAGGTAAACTTTAAATGATAGAGACAGAATATCAAGAAAAAAAACACATGAACAGGGGCAGACTGACCATTTGGAAACTCGGGCACTGCCCATGGGCCTGATGTCAGTAGGGGGCCCCATGAGATGCCCCTGGTACCTTTTTCATAGGCTTTTTTGAGTTTGGGCAAGGACACAGGAGCCCCCATGATCCCCTATTGCCCTGGGGCCCCATGAGTTGTCAGTCCGCCCCCTCCACATGACACAAATGTTATAAACTGAGTTGCAGTTCAGTGAGTAAAATAAGTATTTAATCCCCAAGCAAAACATTACTTAGTACTTGGTGGAGAAACCCCTGTTGGCAAGCACAGAGGTAAGAAGTTTCTTGTAGTTGGTTACCAGACTTGCACACATCTTAGGAGGGATTTTGGTCCACTCTCCTTCACAGATCTTCTCTAAATCCTTAAGGTTTCTTGGCTGTCACTTGGCAACTCAAAGTTTATGGAGGGAGCTGAAACTTTCTATAGGATTAAGGTCTGGAGACTGGCTAGGCCACTCCATGGTCTTAATGTGCTTTTTCTTTAGCCACTCCTTTGTTGCATTGACAGTATGTTTTGAGTCATTGCCATGCTGGAAGTCCCATCCATGACGTATCTTCAGTGTTCTGGCTGAGGGAAAAAGGTTCTCATCCAAGATTTTACAATACATGGCCCCATCCATTGGCCCCTCAATGTGGCAAAGTCGACCTGTACCTTTAGCAGAGAAATAGCCCCAAAGCATAAGGTTTCCATCTTCGTGCTTGACTGTAGGGATGGTATTCTTAGGGTCACAGCATTTTTCTTCCTCTAAACACAGCGAGTCAAGTTAATTCCAAAGAGCTTGATTTTGGTCTCATCTGATCATAGCACCTTCTCCCAATACTTCTCTGAATCATTTAGATGTTCATTGGCAAACTTCAGGCAGGCCTGTACATGTGCTTTCTTGAGGAGGGAAACCTTGCGGGTGCTGCAACCTTATTATAGGCTTTCCTGTAGGTACACACGTTAAAATTTGTACTTTACTTCCACTTTAGGACTATAACAATTGTACATTCGCTACAGATATCAAATACAGCATATCTGGTGAATATTC